GTTGTATAAACCACTTTTTGAGAACTATTTTTTTAATTTATGGCATATACGTGAAAATGTACTGATAAAAACTGCATTATGTTTTTTCTTTCAAATTATCTTCACGTATTTCCGTATTCGTGCAGTAACAAAAATTGGTATTTATTAGTTTAGTTAATATACACTAATTTTGTTTATGTTTATTTTTATTTATTCTAATACAATATGCATCATTTTTAAGTCCATCTCTCAAACGCAGATGTTTAGCTAACTTCCCAAGAAAAACTTACATTGAAAAGTAATGAGTTAAAAAGCCAATAAAACCTCTTTTCTTTAGCATTTTAACTCAATATATTAACACGTAGTGTCATTGGAGCAAGTACTTACCGCATCGCTTACAAATAGGGAGTTAAAGAAGTACTTGTTGAGGAAGATGTTTTGTTTTTAATAATAAAAAGAGCCAGAGAGTATACGAGCCAATCAATGACTTCTGTTTGTTAGTCAAATATTCTAATCACTGCACCACTGCTTAGCTATTTTATTGCGCGTCAAATAATGGTTTTTACATACAAATTTAATTTTCTTCTAAGTAATGCAAAAGGTAAGTAGTTGTCATTGAAAAGTATGTTGTTTAGTAAGTACAAATCATTTCCAGATTATTGCTGGGTTTATATACGAAATCTGTATTCGCATTTTGTAATTGCTATTGTTTAAAAAATTTTAATACAATCCAGTGTCCTTTTTAAAGGACTTCAAAGTTTTAAAGAAGTAAATTAAAAAAAAATTAAAAATTCTTCCACTGCTCAAACAATGCCAAAGTTGTTGTCAAAAGAACAAGAAGAGTTGGGAAATATTTTGTATTATTTTTATTTTATACTGTCAGGATAAGAAGATGTCAAAAATGTCTTTTAAAATTTTTACCCTCTAATATCTATTTAGGTTTTCAGTATTATTTTTTCAGAAAAAAATTTGAAGGCATTTTTGACATATTTTGATCCTGGCAGAATAAAACAAAAATAGCACAAAATATTTCCCAACTCTTCTTATTTTTTGACATAAAATTTTGCAAAGTAGGGCAAGCAGAAGTATTTAGAAATTGTTTTAGTGTCCTTTTACAAGGAAACAGGATCACGAAATAAAAAACTGTGAAACTAGAGATTAAATGATGCTAAACTGATCATTTAATCTCTAGTTTCAGACTTATATCATCTGGTTCGTGTCTAATTTTGAGTGTCGGACGGTGTTATATGTAGACTATTTCCAGTATTTTTATCTTTTACACATGCGTGAAGATAACACAACTTTTTTTATTTCAATAATTTCATAAAATTTTTGTTGTATATCCGCAAAAATGGCATATACGGTAAGATAGTACATTAAATTTTTAAGAAAAGTGGATATACAATAAAATAGCTACTGAATATCTCGTAAACCACAAGAGATAGAAACCTGTGGATTGATTAGATCGATAGATCTTCAAAATTTACCCCAAAAAATTACCCTAACTCATTTTTTTTTGGATTTTGTGATATACGTGAAGATAATTCCGGGACGATGATATGATGACAAGATGAGCGAATATGTCTTGTATATTATCATATATCTAATTCTGTTGACGACTGTATGAACCAGATTCATAAACATTGTCGCCAATAATTTTTCATACGGACAAGGTAAACGACAATGTTCTCAATGTCTTTATATCAGCGTCAGCGTTGCCACTCACAATTTATTTTTCTTACCAAAGTTCCGACAAAAAACTACCAAAACGTTCCAAAAACTACCAAATTTTTCCTTAGGGACAATTGCTTCTGTCTAGAGTTTCATTATTTTTAAAACTAATATGTAATATCATACAATGATTTGTTCCGAAGAATCAATGGTTTACTTTTACGTAATTAGACAAAATTTCCAAACACTTTGGTACTATATAGTTATGAAATACATAATTGCTGTTTTCGACAAAATTTGTACCAAAATCATTCCCGAGAAAATAGTAATAGTATTATATTCGGCTATGACGAATCATATATGTATATCCACCATCAGCATTTATCGTATAAATTGAGGCTGGAAAAATCCTTTTATTATACTACGGTTAACTAATTTGCTAAAAGGGGCTATGGCTGTAATAGGATCAATTGCGGACCAATCGACATGACATGGCTATATCGTCTTAGAATCTATTAGAACCTGAAAAAAATATATACTTACAAACGGAATCACAAAATCAATATCCCCCTAATATTTTTATACCCATTAAAAAAATTGGGGTATATTAATTTTGTGATTCAGTTTGTAAGGTAGTAGTCCCACCAAATTATATATTCATTCATGAATCTGGCTTCTTAGAAAAAAATGAATTAGTGTGGCCTCCAGTAGGTTAGTGGTTTATGTTATAGTCAGACCTGACGTTGTGCGTTCAATTCCCACCTGAGGCATTGGTTAGGAAGTTCACAACGGGACCGATGCAAGCCTAGAAGTATTCCTTCCGATTTTATATAACATCCTCATTTCAAACTAACTAACTTACTAACATTCATGAATCAGAAATGTTGAAATACATAGAAACTTAATATTTTCTTAGAACAAACAATTTCTTAGAAGAAACAACTTAAGATTGACGTATTTATTAAAATTATTATTACTTTGCCATAACAAGGTCAGAAATGTTTATAAATTAATATGCATGAGATCAAAATTATCTAATCCTACCAAATTTGGACCAAAATTTAAACCTACCGACCAAACTACCAAAAGTCACTTCAGAGATTTGAAACTACCAATTTTGGTCCAATTGGACCAAAGTGGCAACGCTGATCAGCGTTGCGTGTTCATATTGTTCAAATTACGAAGATTTTCGGCAATTCACACGTACACTACCCGATCGTAAACAAAACTCACAGCAAGAGCGTAAAAATACAAAAAATTATCTTCAGTTGCTTAACAGCATTCAACAAACAAAGGTTGGCGTCGCTTTGTTTCAAAAATTGCAAAAACAATTTGTAAAAACAACAACACAATTTGTAAACAAGAGAATTACTTGCAAAAACTCGTACACTCCAAAAAATTTCACTAATGCATAAGAATGAAAACACTAAAAAACAGTATTTTACTTTTTTTATACATTTTAAATAAAAAACTTTATCTTTGTGAAGAGATATACATATTTCTTTTCTTTAAATATGTTTTATACGTAAAATTTACCATTCTACTTGTTATGATTTGATCATAACAAGCGTAATTAGGCAATATTTTTTCTGTGTGTTTTTTTAGTTTTTTCTCACCACTACAATAACAGATTCTTAGCATCTCTCTTTCTGCGCTTGGCTGCTTTATATAATTCAGTAATTGGCGACACTACGACCGATATTGCCTTCAATATTGTCCTCTATCAAACATACATGATGACAAGATAAGCGACAATGTCTGGAATGTTGTCTTATATTAGACTCTGTTGAGGACAAGACAAGCGGTAATATAACTGCGATATGATAAAAGTACACAACTTTGAAAAAATATTTATTTGAGTACGAACATCTGAACAAGTAAGAGTAATTCTGAAATTAAGTATAATTGAAATATAATTAATAAAACTCTATTTAAATTGATTCAAGATATAATTTTTAAGTTAAGAGTGGATAAATCGTCCAAATTTGTTCTTAAAATACCTACATTTTAAACAGGATTTAGAAGCAATTGGGACGTATCTACATCGATATAGGATCTAAGTGGTACCAAAAAAGAAAACGATGACGACAAAGTAAACGGTATTGTCGTATATTGTATGTATTTTGAAAATTTGGTCGAATTATCCACTTTTAAATAAAATAATTAAAATATTTTAAATAAATGGTTACAATTTTTCATGTCTTGAAAAGTAACTTACCAAAATTGTAAAAAATATATTTTGACTCAATTTAAATAGAGTTTTTTTATTAATTATTTCAATTATACATAATTTCACAACTTAAAATCATTCTTGCTTATTCAGATGTTCGTACTCAAATAAATATTTTTTTAAGATCTGTCTTTTTTCATATCGCAGTTATTTTATCGTTATATTAAATTTGTTTACATAATGTAGAAGACAAGATGCAAAAAATGTCGCTTGTCTTGTCTAATATAAGACAACATTCCAGACATTTTAGCTTATCATGTCGTCATGTATGTTTTGAAAGAGGACAACATTGAATAATATATCGCTAATAGTGTCGCCAATAACTGAATTATACTTATAAGGACATTGAAGACATTGTCGTTTGCCTTGTCTGCATGTAAAATTATTGGCGACGACGTAAAAGAATTTGTCGTTCATATAATCGTCAACAGAGTTAGATATATAACAACATTTAAGACATAGTCGTTCATCTTGTCATCATAGGTGTTTAATAGAAGAAATTTTTAAAAACTGTATCTTACATTTTGTCTTTAACATTGTCAAAAGCGGACAAGAGATGTTGTCGCTTAACTTGTCTTTAACAGGTCTTTAAAGATAACCACCATCAGGTCTACGTCGCTAACCTAGTCGTTTACGAAGAATTCTTACACATTGTCGTTTAGCCAACTTCAGCGATTGGGGACAAATTCAAAAATGTCTTTCACACATCGTCGATAATTTTGCATATGTCTTTAAGATAATAATTTTTGAAACATTACAAACAAAAGCTTTTGGTGAGGGAAGTTTTTGCATCAAATTGACTTCATAAATAGCTTTTTATGATCATGAGAGTATTGGTATTGAGTATTGAGAGTCTGTATTAAAAGTCATGTATGATTAACTACAACAGATAGGATCCTCAAATTTGTACAGACAAGTATGACAATCATGTGAATATTTGGTTAATAATTGGCTGACTAGCAATAGGCTCGAAAAGTACCACGCAAGCTATTTCTTGCTTTCCCGAGCGTTAAACAAAGTTTCCGCGCAAATGCTTTAAAGTTTTCAATGCTTACATAATATATAATTTTAAATTTATTAATATAAAATTTTATTATTTTTATAAAAACAGATGTTATAATATTATTTATAAAAAAATATATTTATTTACAAAACTTTATAGTTTTTCTTTCGTTCGTTATAAAAAAATCATTAAATCAATTTAATAAATAAATTGTTTTGAAAAGTTGAGTGGTCGATAAAAGTAAATGCTTATCGGATTAAGCTTTCACTTTTTTATTTGGCACAAAGTTTGACGATTTAATGACACACTTGTGTTGGGCATGGATACCGTGAACTGGCATGCAGCGACAATCAGTGACGATTTCAGTTTTGAAAAGTGTATCAGCTATGGAAGTAGTGATCTGGTTGAGGGCCTTCTTTTGTTCCTGGGGTTTCAGTTGCTCGAAGTTTTGAGTGGCAAACACCCAACCGCCATTGTTCAGGACGAAATCAATGCCCATATCGTTATGGAACTGTAGTTTGGCACGCTTCTTGGCATCTTTACCATCAAGAGTTGCAACCAAACGTGAATTGAAACCTGGTTAAATTTAAAAGAAAAAAATTTATTAATTATATTTTACTACGTGTGACCGATTATCTTAACCATACCGATCAATTTTTCGGTGGGAACACCTTCCAATGACATATCCTTAACAGGGGCAATTACATGCAGTAAAGCTGCGTCAAATTGAGTTACAGCGCCAGTTACATGAGCTCGTACGAATTTCATCTATAAAATATAATTTTGAATTATTTAAGATTTGTGTGACTATGTTATAATTAAATTTTACATACCATATTATCGTATTCCAAATTGTTACTGCGCACAGCAACAATGCTCTTGGCAGCACCAGCACGGAAGGGATAATTCAACGCCATGCGGAATGCAAGTTCATCAGATTGCGGAACAATGCTCTTAACAATATTCTCTAATATCTCAAAGATATCAAGTACCTTCTTTTCGGTAATCATTTGCGAAACTGTAGACTCGAAAATTGGTTTAGGTCCATTTAGTTTGACATCGGCAAGATTTCCTTGATAGTTAAGTTTGCCATTATCACTGGTCAATACAGCTGGGTAGCGTTGGTTGGCACTATAGGCAACAACACCGATTTGAACATCGGTAAATCCACGGCTCTTAAGAGTATCACGCACTTCGGTTACGATTGGAGCGACCAAATTGCGCATGACAATGGGAGTTACATCAACATCAACCACAAATACAATATCGGCTTTGTTTGTGGGTACCTTAAGAGTGAATTCTTCTCCGAGTTCACGTTGTCCAGCTTGCCCTGAACATTTAAGGCATCGTTTTGGTAGGAATACGAAAATATCCTCCAATTTTAGGGCCGAAGCATAAGCAGTGGCTACGGAGCAAGCAACTGTTTCCTTGTCCTTTTCGGCTGCCGTTAATACGGATTGATCGCAAGCATTGCGGTAAGGCTTGGAGTCAATGAAAAGGTAGCCAAGAGCTAGAGGCGATTCATAGCCGAAAAGTTCATTGCAAATTTCAGCACGTTGGATCTCTGTATGAGTGTCAACAGTAGCTGGATTACACTTGCCCAATCCATAACCATTTACGAATGAGGCTGCGTCGCCAGCAATACTACCATCGATTTGTACAAAGTCATCATAGGGTTCAGCATTACCATTGCCTAACAAACCACGCATCTTGCTGGTGTAGAAACCGTTAACGTCAACATGGCAAACCTTAAGATCAGTGGTACACATTATTTGCACACCATATTCATTGACCATGTAGACAGTGTAGTATAAACGCCAAGCATGCATGCCATTTTCATGTTGGGGATATTCAACTGGGTTACCGTTTAATTTTAAAACACCACTGTCGTTAATTTCCATAAATTGACCTTCGCGATCTGTTACGAAAATAGATTTCATCTTTCCATTGTTGACCTGGGCGATAACGGTGAAGTTGTTATCGACAGAATCTTGAGCCAAGATGTATTTACAATTTCCAGTGAAGTGGATTTGTTGGCCGTCAAAAGTAAATAAATGGCGACCATCAACAATATGACCTCTAAGGTCAAAGTCCTTGAAGATAAAGTCTTCCTTGGAGAACCAGTTCTCAAAATCTTCGTTAATAAGGAAGTTTATAACACTGGAACGGAATGTTATAAGGACTGGAAGTTGACTGAAGAAATCTGTGGGTACTGGGGCAGACATGAACAAATCATTTAATGAGAAGCTAGTAATACTGGCACCAGTAGGAGCGGCCATTTCCAGACTAGCCCACACGGAACGCACAGCTTTAACGAATAACTTCACGAGTTCTTCAACCACCTTTTCATCGTCAACTTGTTGATGTTTCAATTTGGCGACTAAGTATTCATGAACCTTCTGCAAGAATTCACTGGTTTCAGCTGTAAGTGGCAAAACGTGCAGCTGATCAAATACATTATTAACGAATTCCAAAGATTTTTCACCCAATTGCAAGGCGTGCAACTTATCCTTAAGTTCGCTTTGAATGGCTTCGAAGGAAGGCAATTTAGACCAGTATTCGATCCATTCATTTACTAAGTCTTCAAGACCAGAAGTCAAAGCCTTGTATAATTCTTGAACAGCTTCATTGAATGGTTTTAAACCTTCGGCAATAGCTTTACCGTAGTTTTTCAAAGCTGGTTCATATTGTTTGAACACATCTAACACCGATTTGAAGGATTTCGAATACATATTTACAATTTCTAAGCGAAGTTCACGTACAATTTTACCAGTGTTAGTCAAAAATTCTTCCCAGGCTGGAACTAATGTTTCTTTAACTATTACTTGGAATTTCTCATGAAGAGCTACAAATGATTTGTGCAATTTTTCATAAGTTTCACTCCACAACTTAGTGAGTTCAGTAGATAATTTAGCGATTTTAGAATAGAGATTTTGTCTGAAAATAAAAAAATTAATATAAATTAGACACACGTCTGTGAGAAATAAACAAACAGTAACTTGTAAAATACACTAATACCAAATGACCCTTCACGAGATTGTTTTAAATATTTTTTAGACGATTGATTAGAATATAAATAACTTACAGTGTCTCAGAAATTTGTTTCATGGCTGGATCGACTTCCAATTCCTTAACAATTTCGTTAAGATTATTTTGATAGCTGTTTGACAATTGGCTGAAATCTGGAGCAGAATCCTTAGATAATTGAAGTTGACGATCGGCAATTTCCTTAAGTTTTTCTAAACGTTTTTTTAGTTCAGTTGTCACTTCAGTTTCTTGTTTCATTTCATTTTCAAGAACATTCTAAAAAGGCATATAAGATTATGTAACACGTAACATGGGAGGTTTTATAATTGACTTACCATAAAATCCTTGACATTTTCTTCGTGGGCATTATAAGTAGTGCGCAAGAAATTGGCAGAGTCCAAACCTACGCGGCCATTTATTAATTCTTTGTTGGCGCCTTCCACTTGGAATTTGAACTCTTTGCCCAATTTAATTTCACCTTGAGCATTTAATAAACCTTCACGAACCACATTAATCTTTGCCATGGTTGGTAGGAGTTCAGCATTTATTTCAACTGGTTTTCTACCTAAAGCTTGTAGCTTAGCGTTAAATTTGGTCTGCTTCTTCTGCTTATTGTAATCGGCAACCATCTTGACTACCTCTTCGTTAAGAGAATATATTAAAACTTCAGCGTGTTCCTTGTTACCAAAGAAAAAGGCAGAAGCCTTCAAGTCTGAACTGCCCAAGCTGAGGTCAGCACCAGAGCTGAATTCGTATTGTTCAGTGTTTAAGCCAGCATGGGCGTTTAGAGTATATTCAAAACCTAAGCCGGAGGAACGTACAACTTCAGTAGATGTTATGTTAAATCCATTATTGGACTTAATGTTCTGTACATGTGTGGTAGCAACTATTTGTTGTTCTGGTAATTTGAAGATGTCAAATATAACTTCAGCATTAATTGTATGGTGCTCACGATTGGCATCTAATTTGCCAGATACAGTGAGGGGACGGATGGTGGGATGTTCCAATTTCAAAAGACCCTTAGCATTAATTGCAACGCGTTCTTTTCCGGAAAGGTCAGCTTGGGCTAAGAATTTGGTAACATCATGTGGTTTATTGGTTTTGTCAATAAAGAATGCTAAAGAGTTTTCGTAATGACCAAATATTTGACCATTTACAGGATATTTCTGGTGAGCTTCCAATAAGATTTCACGAGAAGGCAGTTTTAGTTGTATTTTGGCATTAGTTGGTTGAATATTTGCCAACAAATTGTACTTCAGATTATTATTAGAGTTGATGCTTGAGTCCAACATGTATTGGAATTTGAAACCTTCACGGACATTCTTTGATTGCAATTCGAATTCATAGGGAAAACCAATTTCACGTAAATCGAACAACACCAATAGTGAATGAATAGATGTTTCATCTTGGGTTAAATCATTCGAAGCCAATACTTGAACATTGGTGCATTGTTTCTTTTCTTCGCAAATGGAAAGTTTAATGTTGAAGTCCTTGTTGGTTATTTTAAGAGTGGAAACCCCATTTTTGGGTCCGAAGTTACCATTAAAGTTGAAGGAGAAACCAACTTCCTTGTCGGTGGCCATTTCATAGACTTGTCTTGTCAAACGGAAGTTTGTATTGTGAGTAGTACCCTTGAATCTTATTTGACCTTGTCCTTCGAGTATGCTCTTATTGTTTTCCTTCTTGAGAGCGCATGTAGCGGTTCCCGAAAATATTTCACCTTGGGCGTTCTTCAACATCAAGGACAATGATTTACCTTGGGTTCGAACATCCAAATCATAATTGTCTAATTTCAATTTGGCCGAATTCCATTGAGCAACAACATAAAAATCATCAACAGCATTGTAAGAGGCTTCGCCATTAAATTTAAGATCTAAATCTAAAACATTAGACAATTCGGTAGTTACTTTAGATTTACGGCGACCCATAACTTCAAATATAGCTACTATACTGATAGGTTTTCCATTAGGTAATGATGCAGAGATTTGTACTCCCTTTTTGTGACTACCACGGTACATTACAGTATCTAGGCTGTATGAATGTTCATTATGATTGCCAACCACATTCAAGTTATACGAATCGGCATCTAACAATTTACCTCTAATTTCCACATCAAGATTTTTAGCCCCTTCAAAACTACTGGTTACTGTTAAACGATTATGAATAGTTTCTTTGCCATTATAAGACAAATCATTTGATGATTTTACAAATTTATCGCCATGTTTGAAATTGAAGTCATACTTGACGGAGCCACTAGCATTGTCTTCTTTAAATGATCCTTGGTGTTCACGTTGGTATGAACCATCAATTTCCAAAGGTGCCTGCATATTCTGGGTACTCAAATTGATATTGAAAGCGCCATTTCTTTCGGAACTCTTAACGTTGGTAGTTAGCTTAACAAATTGTTCGTTACCGGCTTTTTCATCAACAAATAACTCGAAAATGTAGTTTCCACCTTCAGTTTGTGGTTCCATAAACTGACCTTTAGTATGCAATTCATAGGTTTTGAATGCCGTGTGTAGTAATTCTATGTTGGAGTTCAATTCATATTTTACTGCCGATCCTCGTTCACCCAAATCGTAGTTTCCGTTAATTTTTCCATTAACTGCATCGCCATATTTAGCACCAATGTTAAAAATGGCATGACGGACAGAATATTCATCAACAATAAATGTAACCTCGATGGGAAATTTAACTAATGGACCATTAACAGTAGTTCCAAAATCAATCATTTTATTTTGGCCCTTAGGTAGTTTTTTGAGATGCCAATTAACATCTAATGTTTGACTCTCAAAGTTAGTATATACAAGTTGGGAAGTGGCAGAAAATTCTTTGGATTTAACGTTGAATTTCTCCAATTTGCCATTGAGAGCCAGTGATCGCTTATTACCACCACTTGGTAACTGGTCTACTAATTGTACATCCATATGTCCTTGTGCAATACCAGTTTTGCCATTGGTATTTATCTTACGCTTAAGGGAACCTGACAGTATGCGACCTTCGGGGCATGTAAATGTGAATGCACCTTGAATTTCACCATTCATACGCCAGTCGCCTTTAATCGAACCGTTAGCATCAAACGAAACCTTCTTCTGGGTCACATCTACGATATTCTTAGTATTAAACTTGAGTTTGTCCACAATATTTTCGGTTTTAATATAGGCCTTTTGTTCACCATCCAAGATGACATTAGCTTCAACATCATACTTGGGATGTTGCACATGAAATTTCGAGCTTAATTCTAGTTTGTGTTTGGGGTCTGTTTTAAGAGTTTCAATGACGGCCGTTACTTCTCCCTTACCATTTTTAGCCAATTTAAAATCACCCTTAGCATTTACAACGTTCTTAACAATCACATTCACTTTACCAGATGTTATTTTATCTTGGGGATGTTGAGTGTCAGCTATTACCTTAATAATTTCAGCATTATCTCGAGAAACTTTAAATTCAGAGTTGGTTTTTTCAGGAGCTCCAATGACTTTCAAAATCCATTGGGTAGGTTTATCTTTGCCGCTGACTTGAGCTGTGCCCTGTAAATCCATGTAAATATCTTGGGGAGTATAACGTTGGCCTAACTCACCCTTCAATGTCAAGGCCGATCCCCAGCTAGTGGTAAGAACATTATCTAAAACAAAGTGATTACCGACAATATCACACTTGGAAACAACATCTACAAAGTGTTGGTTAAGTTTAGCATTAACAGATAATTGGTAATCATTCTGGGCCTTTTGATTAGCAGCATATTTGACTGCAACAGCAGCAACTTTTTTGCCACTGGTAGCATCAACATTAACTTCAAATTTATCTTGACCCTCAGTTAGACCTTGCACCTTCAAAGATCCTACATTGTGTTGTTTATGCTTAACACTTACTGAAGATATAAATTTGCTGGAAGCAATAGGATTGGGTCCTTCTTGTTTACTGTACTCGACTTCATTAGTAGAAGTGGCCTCCCATTTGCCAAACTTGCTGACAACATCCACACTAACCAATTGTTCCCCAACTTTAACATTGGCAGATGCTCCATAGATATTTTCGGGTTTCTTTTCATCATTTACGAATAGACCTGCAGCATATTCTCCAGCAGCAACTTTAAGGTTGCTCTTTATAAATATTGTGTCTTCATTTGATGTTAAATGTAACTCGCTAGACATTGAAGCTGGTCCCAAATCGGCAAAACCATTAAGAATGACACGCTCCTCCTTATTAGATACCATCAGGTTTTCAAAGTTTAATCTACTTTGGTCGCCAGATTTTTGCACTAAAACTCGGCCATCTACACGATATCCATTAATCTCGTTACTAACTCCACCGTTGGCATCTTGAATTTCAATTACAGGTCTGTATTCGTGTCCACTCTTAATGAAACCTAATTTGCTCTTTCTAACATCCTTGTCTTGTTCATATTGAGCATACCAGACTAATTCTCTATCGTCATTGTTTAAGCCGGCTTCGACAGCAAAGTGATAACGGGAATTATCCAATGAGGCACGACCGTAAGCACGTGGTTTGGTACCCAACTCCATAGTCAATGAAGTATCATGAGATTCCTTAGACCCAGGTGTACTGTAGTCTAACTTCCATTGGTCAACGCCAGCTTGTTGGACATTGTGGTAGCCCTTCAAGTTGAAATGACGTTCGGTCATAACATATACAGCAAAATCAAAGGCTTCTGTTAAACCATCTTCTTTCAAATCGCCAAAGCTGCCAACAACACAGGGAGTAAATCCTAGACTTTCAAATTGGTTGTAACAACTTTCAATGGATGGACCATTGGCATCAGATTTTGAACTTTTTAGGTGTACCGATTTGACTGGTTTATCTTGTTCGGCAATATAGAAATCATTTTGCATCTTCATGTCGATAAGTTCAATCTTTTCACGAGGTAACTCGATATTCATATCAAATCCTGCACCTTCATGCGTAATAGCCACATCAATTGAGCTTCCAGTTGCGGAGTGCATAGTGAAAACGCTGCGTAAGCCAGATGATAAAACGAGTGCATTAAAACCAATTTTAAGGTTCACGTTGGCATCAATGCTGGGAACGAATTTGATTTTGTATTTTGAATTTTCCCATTTAGATTGTAATAGATTATCTACATCCACGCTGACACCAAAGTCCATTTTGTTTGCCATAAATCCGTCAGAAGTTAATTCCAAAGGTATACCAACACCAGTTGGGTACACAATTTCAGTGTCCATAAAGAAGTTGTGGGAGGTGAATTCCTTGTTATAGTTGTTCAATTCATTCTTAATTTTTTCAAAAGCTTCGGTAAACTCTTTGGTGATTTCGTCAAATGTGCTTGGTATGTTGTCTCCCAAACTGAGGAACAAAATTTCAGAACCAAATACTTTAAGTGAAAGATCCAAGTTCAAGTCATTTGCATTCTTAGCGCCATAAGTCTTGTATTTCTTAGCTACTTTGGAAGTATCATCAGCAATAGAACGCCTAGAGCGGGAGTTATGTTTATCCGATTCTTTTCCCATCATTTCGTCCAAATCTTTATTTACAAATCCCTTGGGTCCAAAGAAGTATTCCAAAACATTTTCCAAATTTTCTTGACGAACGCTAGCATCCAAAATATTCATGTTAATGCCAAACTCTTCTGCTTTAACATTAAGACGTGCTGATCGTGGCAAGAAACCGCTTTGAGAATATATCAGCTTATAGTCAGCACTGGCACTCAAGCCTAGGGCGTCCATCTTGTAAGACACTTCATCGTTATAGCTGTATCTTCTGAAATCCATGGGGAACTTTTTGGTAACACGAATGTTGCCCAAATAACGACGTTGATTTTCTTTTTCTTCATCAGTGGAGTCACGAATAGCTCTAAGACTTGACGTAATGAAGCCACCAACTTGATTAACTGTTTCACTGTTAACAATTTCAGCAATTTCATTTGCCATCTCTCCTGAAGGACATTCAATAGCGGCCAAGTAAGCTTCAATACGTAATTCGGAATCTTCATTGCGATCAGCCAAAAGTTCCATTGCCTTCTTTTGCAAGTTGGCGCCACAGCTGGCAGCTGAAAAAGCTTGCAAAGCAGCAACGCGCATGCGATTAGAACGGCCTTGCTGAACACATTCAGTTAGTGACGAAGCAACACCGCTAGCCAAATGGTGAGTGTTTCCAATTCCTTTCAATATGTACAGAACGCGTTCTTCATCCTTTTTGGTACTTGCTTTGCAGTGTTTCAGCGATTCAGTGAATTTCTTAGAAATACCATCAACTTCTCCATTATTACAACCATTACGTTCGCAATATTTCGAAACCAAACTACCAACAGCTAGGTAAACCTCTTTAATCGCATTTGGATTCAATAGCGTCTACGCAAAAGGAAAAAGACAAAAAAAATTGAAAATTGTTTACTTCAAATAATATGATTTAAGATTTTAAATAGTACTTACAGCTGCTTGATTCAATGTATCTTTATCAACAGTTTGAACAAGATTCAAAGACATCATAGCGATGGTTTTCTCTTTTTCACTCATTTTGTTAAACTGCTTAAGAATAGCACGAGCTGACTCTGAAGTAGCCGTACGGAATAAAGCATCCAAATAAACTTGGCGAGCCAACACTTTATTGGGAAGAGGGAAGGCAGCCAATTCCAACAAGGTTTCTGTATCAGAATTACGCATAAGACGGATCAATTCTACAAAGCCCTTGGCACTATCCTTCTTCACATAACCATCTAAAAGGTGAACCAACTCCGTTAAGCTACTTTTAAGAGCAGCAATATTCTTTGATGAATAGGTCTCAGGTTGTTGGAACATTATGGAAACTGATCGGGTACCAGTTTGAGGGGCAACAGCAGGAGCGCCTGATGGATTTTTTAATTTCAAATTGGTCACCACTCTGGCCCGCAAGCCAACATCCGATTTGGGGACTGCGGCGTATTTATATTCTTCTACGAGTTGAACATTATTAACAAGACCCTTTTCAATCTTTGATTCTTTTGTGTAGTCAGCCTTAAGTACAGAGGCGCCTTCTAAGCCAGGTTTCGTTTGAAGAGCATTTGTTAAAATGCCACTGTTAATAATCTTACGATAACCACATGCATTCAAGTTGCGCACTTTGTTTACAATTTCAGCATTTCCGATTTTCGATACAGTAGTATGTGTGGGACACTGACCGAATACATCAACTTCTTGCACAGCATCAGGTTTTGATTGCAACATAGATATAACGGCACGTTTAATGTTCAAAGCATATGCATTATCACCTTGATCGGCACACAACTCGGGCTCTACTTTTCCACCAACCATGGTGAAATGTACAGGCTTTTGTATACTTTGCATTATTTTCTTTTCTACATTTTCCTTGGTGGCTGTAACTTTAACGGCTCCCAATTGTAAAGTGTAGCCGCAATTGTCCTCAGCAAATAATTTCGCATTACCAGTTACTTTGAGACTTGTGTCATCAGAATTTCCAGCTCCACTGTTGATGCCAACAGTCATAATGCTGTCAAAGTTATATTCGTAAACATTACCAGGCGTATAAGATAAGTAGCCATTATCCGCTAAAACAACAACATGTTATAATTAAATTAAACATTTATTATTAGTTTTACTTACATTCAGGACAACCACGTTTGCAGCTTGATTCTGGAAAAAAAAAAACAGAGAAAAATTAAAAAGATTATTTGTGGATGCTAGCAATTAATTTGGCTTGTTTAGGTAAGCTAAAACAATTAAAAGCATTGAATTATTTGCATATAATGTTTATATTGTGAGGTTCTAAGACAGGCATAATATAAAATTTGGTGTTTTTGTACTAAGGGCTACAAAATATGTATCATACATAAGTGTTTCATATAAATTTATAAAATTTCAAATATGTCTATTATTTTCGGTGCGAAATCGATTTCTTTCTGTACACGTATAAACTAAAACTAATGATTTCACGAATATTAGATAAATATAAATTGAATTTTGATTTAAATGAGAGGCATTAACATCTATCTGAATCTGCGTTTGATTTGTTCAAAATTTATTTAAAAAAGTAAAATATCATTAAACTATAAAGTAATTTTTCTCGAAACGACGTTTTTTGGATTATGCCAGTCTTGTAGTAAATGAGCGATATAATTAAAGTTTGTAATAACTTTATTTACTGCATTATGCAATCCTTAATGTTTTAAAACGATCACGTCAACATTGTATAAACTAATAACAGTTATGTATGTATATGAGGATTTTATCACCAGTAATAATAAATTAGTAATAAAGCTATTACTTAATGTAGTTTATCAATGCAGAATTAATGTTGCAAACTTTTATTAACATAATTTTTACTGAATATCGGACTATAACTTTAAGTAGTGCTGAAACGTCTGTACTTTGTTCATTTTTAATTACTGACATTTTCACCAGCATACTTTTGTCAATCCACAGCAATTACTAAAAAAAATAATAATTTGAATTCAAAATTCTACGCTTTTTTAATACATAGGAACATACTACTATAATATACATATATGTATAAATAACCCTGCAGGTTATAAGCATTAATAAACATATTCAAGCACTTTATTCTGTTAGTTTACCAGTGTTACCAGATGTAGGAATTAATTAGAAGTTTTTTTTATTTTTTGGGTTACATAAAAAGGTTCCGAAAATCTGAATAAAAAAATCATACTGTTTTCCTACTTTTAATTGTCTGGCTGTATTCATAATATTTGCTATAACTGTGCTTTACACCCTAGAATAATTACTTGGTTTGTGACTTAGATAGTAACTTAGTATATAAATTTGCAGATGATAATATGTTGACTTTGATGATAAGACTGTTGAGTTTAACAGTATTATCAATAATAATACTGCTTTATCTTTTTTCTTTGATAATTTAAAACTGTTATTGTTAAACGGACTGATTTTTACATATGTGTCTACATCTCAAAAAATTTTAAATTTTACTCTAATAATACAATTTATATTAAAATAAAAAATTTTCAATGATTAGAATATTCTCATCGAACAGTTACAAAATCATTAAGACATGTATCCAAATTGTCACCAAATTAATTACATAAATGTTACTCATACATCGATTTATTATTTTTTTTTTTTTGTATAATAAGAATTGAAAATCTTCTATAAGGGGTATTTGAGAACATTAAAAAAAATTTTTGTGAAACGCCCTAACGTACTTATTATCAATGAAGCAAATAAATATTTGTGCACAACTTATGTGTGTAAAATAAATTGTGTTGTTATTTATTTTTTTATGAATTAAGTGAGTTTACTATATCTCAATTAAACTTTTATCGAAACAAGTTAAAAACATTGATCTACACTCAAAGATCTTATAATCAATGTGCGTTATGCGTTTAATTGTTTGAATTACTTCATACAGATATAGTACAAATATATCAAATAATATTTTAAGTGCATATTGATTTATTTACGATGTAAATTTTCCTTTTATAAACATGTTATTTAAAATCTTCAGGTATATGTCAGGCGTATCGTATTCGATTTGGTCCCAGGATTAAAAAAATAAATTAAGCTGAGCCTCGACAAGGCAAAAGGAACTACTTACTGTAACTAAAATTCACTGGTACATAAGTGGAATTTAATGTTTCTCTTATTTATGGCTTATTTATTATTTTCTATAAATTTAATTTATTATATTTTTACTCACCTGCATTTGTTCCACTTGCAATTAAGATACACAGAAGTGCTACTCCTAGCACTGCGAGGCGCAGCCGTAAAGGACAATGATTTTGCGCCCTCATGGTGCGACAATTCTGAACACAATACACCAACAAATATATTTATTAATTTTTTGTTTAATATCAATACGTACATAAATAAAAAATTTCACAATTTATATTATATTTCATTGATTTAATTTCAATGTTTATTTTCAAAATTTAATATTTTGAACACTTGTTTTGTTTAATTTCAATATACTTCGTCCATACCTGCTCAATATCACAAATAACTTTTTTAATAATTTTACTCTGTAATATTTTTGCCTTTTACAATAAATATTTTATTTATAAGTATTTTTTAAGTTTATTAAACTCGAAAATTTCGTTTGTTAAATAGGTTTTGGGAGGACGACGAAAATTCCCGGCCGCATTCGAAGAATGCAACGATAAATCTAAGTCTAAGTACGAAAGATGTTGAAACCTTTTATAGAATTATTAAGTGAAAAATTTGAGCATATAAGCGCAGATTTATGTTTTTTATTTTTGTGTGTTGGTGTGTATGTGTGTGTTTTCTTGCCCACGGTGAGAGTTAAGAGCCAAGGGAGAACTCTCTTTCTTACACTCTATCTCTCTCGTTATCTTTGTAGAATCTCTGCAAACTAAATTAACTATCACAAATAGACACATACAGTGTGTCGACAAATTTCTTGTACATTATCTATTTTAGGTCTTCAAATAACAATGCTTAAAACAAAAAATAAATAATGACGAAAAATTAAATTTCTAACGATTTAAAAAATTTCGAAACCCAGATACCAAAGAATTTCTTCACCACTTTTAGCGCAAAGAAACTTTTATTTTTCAAATTTGTTATGTCATCTGATCCTTTATCCATATATCTTTCATAGTTTGAAAAATGTATGTATAATGTATACTTGGGGAGCCCGTTTGTATGAAGAAACAATAAAGTAGTAATGTTTCCACTGAAAATTAAAGCCTGGTTAATTCTAAGATAGAATTTCTCAAAATTTTTGTTGTGGGATAAAAATTTTGAAGAAGGTTATTTAACTTTTTTATGTTTGATATCATGAGATCTTTGAGATGCACTTTTAATGGCGTATCATATATTTTTATGATAGTTCAAAAATATTGAAAATTTTATAAAAAAATATGATTTTTTTAATTTTTACATTTCACCGAAATTGTTTACAAAAGTATTAAACATTTTTAATACTTTTGTAATCGCACATAAATATTTCACCATTCATGTGATACCAAAAGTAGTATATTTTCTTTTCAGTGGAAAAAAATCATAAAAGCTTCAAACGTGACCTTTTTATCCTTTAGAACAGCTGACTAGATATTGTCATCAGGACAAAAAAATTTAAAAAAAGGTATCATAGATTTAACTAGGGTTTAATTTTCGATGGGAACCATCAACAATTTCCTTTTCGGAGCCACCCTAATGTAAATATTAAAAATTCGATGCTGCCTTTATTTTAATTAATTTTTTATTTCTGATTGCTTGTATTTCCGACGCCTAAGGAAGTCAGGATGCTGAAAATAGAAAAGTCATAGATTTTATACGTAAAATGTTTTGATAGGGTGTATAAAAAATCAGAACTTCATATAGAGCTCGACAATAAGTCAGAGATAATAATTTGTAACCCATATTCTATTTATGTTTGTAAGAGAGATTTTGTTTCGCGAGGAACTTACTTGGGTCAAATTTTATCGCTATACTCGTATTTTTTAACCAGTAATGAACGTTAAAGTCATTTTCTGAAGGGGACCTTGTATGGTCAATTATTGACCGATCCTCAATAAATTTGGTAGAGAGATTTTGGCTCGCATGGGGGTGGGGTCATTTAAGGGCTGAGCCTAAAAAAGTTGCTAGAGAGGTTTTGGTCCGTAAGAAACTTACTTATACCTAATTTCATCGCTATACTCGAATGTTTAGGCCAGTAATGAGTGCTAAGATAATTTTTTGAAGGGGACCTTATATAGGGGATAGGGTCAATTATGGACCGATCCTCAAAAAATTTCGTAGAAAGATTTTGGCCGATATGAAACTTACTTATTCCGAATTCGAATGTTTAGGCCAGTAATGAGTGTTAGTCATTTTCTGAAGGGGACCGTATATGGGGAGTAGGGTCAATTATGGACCGATCCTCAAAAAATTTGGTAGAAAGATTTTGCCTCATATGAGACTTATTTATGTCGAATTTCATCGCTATACTCGTACTTCTAAATCAGTTATGCCCGTTAAAGCTGTTTTTTCGAAGTGCACTTTTATGGGGGCTATCCGAAAACGTGGACCGATATTGCTCATTTTCAGTACAAAATAAACCTTAGCGATAGAGAATATTTATGTAAAATTTCAACTGTCTAGCTGCTCCTTTGTGTGCCCTATCGTGATTTCAACAGACAGACGGACGGACATGGCTAGATCGTCTTAGAATTTAAAAGGGGTCCCAGAATATATATACTTTTTTTGGGTCTATGACCAATATTTCCATGTGTTACAAACGGAATGACAAAGTGAATATACCCCCATCTTTGATGGTGGGTATAAAAAATAGGCTCTAAAAATTGTAATTACTTTTAACATTGAAAAGCTCACAAAGACTAACGCCTGAAATTATTAAAAAATCTTAATTTGCTTTTAATGCACACAATAGTTAAAGCACAATTTTTGATAAGTTTTTGCAAATATTGATAAATTTCTTTGATATTCGACTAATTTTAACGCCGGCGAATATATTTTGCATTATTATAACACTAATCAATATAATTTACATGATTAATTACTTTATGGCATTATATTGAACCAACAAACCTTGAAAAAGGCAAATCAAATGATTTTGTCTATCATTTGGTTGACAGACGGGCACTTCCAAATTGCCTAAAAATAGTGCTGGCCAATTGGAATATTGTCAAATATTCATGCATTAATCCAATAATGCCTAGATTTGAGTTTTTTTTCCCAAAATATAATCGTTTAAAAATTTTCTGGGATTTTATTTACAAATTTGTAAACGTTAAAATTAGAATTTTTAGATTTTATTTTAAAATAAACCATAATTAGTTTTCACTATCAACCTAAAATTAACGAAAAAAGCTTTATTTGAGAAAAAAATGTTAAAAATCAACTTTTGGTTGGCTTAAAGAAGGGTCGATCCTACAATAAAATTCTTTTATTTGTCAATGGTTTATTGAAGGTGTTTTAAGCTATTTGACGTTTAAAAATACGATTTTCCTGAATTTTGCCTAAAATTGTTTAATAAACCATGTAATGCAAGCATGTAATGAAACAAACAATATTCATTCTATCTTTTTGATAATTAATTGATCTCATAGTTTGAAGAACTAGTTTAATTGGATTCCGTCTTACGTTCAGATAACAAATAAATAAGAAACCACATTTGGTCCCAAAAAAATTTTTTTTCCAACGACAATTACATTCATAGCTTCTAAACTGACATTTGATTCGTTGTTTTAAACGACAAAAATGCATGGTCTCCAAAATGGAAATCCAAAGTTAAGAAAGAAAAAAAATTTATAAATTATGAACTAAATGACAAACTTTTACTTACTATGAGTATACTAGGATGATCTACTCGGTTTCTCAACCCGTTTTTTTTTTTTTTTTTTTTTTTTTTGTCTTACCATCGAATATTTTTAATTGCTTTGTATTCAAAGGGAACTAAAAATAAGTTTTGAAGAAAATATATTTGATACAAACATAATAACAACATTTTAAATGTTGGAGTCCATGAACTTAGAGTATATTTTCCTAAATATTAAATAATTTTATCAATCTTAAGATATTCTAATTACAATAATAATAGAAAAATAGTTTAAACTTGCTGCTGATTTATGGAAGTGGAATATCTATGAGAATTGCCTAAACTTTTGTCTAATTGTAAACTTTTGATTTAAGAATAAGCTACGATTACCCAGTTCCAACCAACCAACCAACACATTAAAGAAATAATGAACATAAATCAGACGACTAGATCTAAAGTTATAATCTTGTAAAACTTTAAAAATCAGTTCGGACCGTGTTTTATTAAACAAACTTAAACATACATATGTATGTACGTTAAGGTGGTCCCAAAATGGAAGTTGCTGATGTTCCCACCGAAAATGAAAATTAAGTTAATTTTAAGATACCATTTTTCAAAATTTTTTCCTGATGGCGAGCTGGATCAAACGATAAAAAGGTCCTTTTTGAAGGTTTTTATGACACCTAATGTACATAAATGTTAATGTTCGCAATTTAGAATAGTTTTTTTATTAGTAATAATAAAAAACCGGCTAAGCGGTTTTTTCTGAATTTGAAAAATATCAACCGTTTTTTTTTAATGTTAACTATTTGAACTACCGGCTTTTGGAAAATCGATCACTCTAGTATATACCCTCTTCACTTACATAAATAAATGTATGTAACTACAGAACAGTACTGTATTTTAGAACTATGTTCTGTAAAAATATTCTTCCTTAAAAAAAATTAAAAATGTCTTGTTTTTACTTAGTCTTCTATATTTATTCAGTATTTTTAAATTTTTTTCAACATTATCTTTCAAAAATTTGGACATTCAATCGATTTGATTTTTGTAATGTAACAAAAAGGATGAATTTGGGGATTTAATTCGGTTTTTGGGGCATTATTTCACATTTAAAATGGGGAGTTATTTCATTATGAAATAATATAATATATAAATGAGCTTCGAAAATTCAATGGTTGCTTAGTAATATATGTTTGAAATTGAGTGTTTTTATTGCAACAGTTTGAACAAAAGTTTTGTGGTAATATTTCTTTTCGAATGTAATGAATTAATGAACAATTGATATTATTAACCCCTTATATAGAAATAAGTTTTAACTAAATACAATTTATACATATAATGAATTGTGAAGAAATAAAAACCTACCATTATCCAGCAAAAACTTATATTGAAAAGTAATGAGTTAAAAGCTTTTCACTACTTATTCAATAGCATTCTTGTTGTTTAATTCGCTATCTTACTCACAAAAGCACTTAAAAGAAACTCAGGCGGTAAGTAGTAGTCACTAATAAGTAAGTGGTTATGTAAGTACAAACATTACCGAGTTTTTGCTGGGTATGTATACTTTTTTACTTTTCTTTAAAAATCTTCAGTATGTATGTCTTTTTTGATTTAAAAAATATTTTCCTGAGAAGGCAGGGTTAATTATCGACCGATCCTTATAAAATGTTGTAGAAAACTTGTTTAAGTCGAATTTCGTCGCTATACTCCTATTTTTAAGTCAATAATGAGCGTAAAAGCCATTTTATAAAGGGGACTTTTATGGGGGTAGGATCAATTATGGCGTGATCCTCGTAAAATTTGGTAGAGAGATTTTGCTTCATATAAAACTTGTGTATGTGGAATTTCAAAGAAATACTGGTATTTCTAAACCAGTGGCTGTTAAAACTGTTTTCCGG